TAAGTCAGGTCGGCGGACTTCTCTGCAACGGGCGCCTTTCTTGCGTTGTTGGCGGCATCGACTACAGCAGCAGTGGAATTGTTGTTATTTGCCTGTCGCTTAGAGCGCTTGCGTGATGAGGATGATGGAGTTGTGTTGTCTAAAACAAATAATAAGGGATAGACTAAACTGTTTCGTGCCCTAGCTAAAGGCTACAGAATTTCAATGGTTGAGCAAAACCATATAGAGGAGACTCTTAAATAGAAGCAAAAGTAGACGAGATAGTACCAATATAACCTTAGTTAAGTTAAACTCAGCTTTGCTGGTTTCTGTGGTCGATAGGCTCCCATTGACCAAACGCTAGTCAGAATGGGCGGTAGGAACATAACTAGATTTGGTGGATGGTGTTAGAACTCACTCAACACTTCACAAAACACATTAAAGGGGAGGGATATGACAAATAACATTAATTTTTACGGAAGAGGTTCATGCTATGCGACACTAACTTAAACCATCACTGCCAGTTGTAACATAAGGTACAAAATGGAGCCCTACCTCACCCTAGTCAAACAAATCGACGCATTAAATGAAGTCGATATGGAACCCACATTCCCCGGCCTACTCTGTAGACTCCTTACAACTAAAGATTCAGAAGGATGTATAGTAGAGTGACAGTATAAAGTTAATGACGGTTGATGGGAGTATAAAAACCATTTATCGTGCATAAAACCGTGTCAATTGGACACTAAACGGAATTAACTACCCACTAGAGGGCAATCCTAATCTATAAACACTGGAGATGCCTGTCTTACTCTTGTCAAACAAAACAAATCATTGGGTTTTGGGAGACAGCAAGATAGGAAAACGTGGCAAAATACAAGAATTTCAAATCTATTTCAGTTAAAAGTTTTTTAAATGATCTCGTAAGTTTCTTATGCTTCATGCATTAGTACACTACCACCGCATCTAACTGCGACTTAATTGCGTGAAACAACAAGTAAGGTATTTGGCACTGTCAAGATGAACTGGCATATATTACATAACGTTGGTAAAGAACAACTAACCGGAATTTGTTGACTGGCCGGCTTTGGCCGAAGCATTTTGTGAATCCGCACTTTTCATTTGATGAGTTAGACGGAGATGTCGGTTGAGCAGAGAACGCATGAGAAAGACTTCATTGCAAGCGGGACATGGAAATGTAATATCACGATTGTGATGTCGCGCGTGTTCTTGTAGCTTGTCTCTAAGATAATAAAAGAATAATTAGGAACCACTACTAAGAGTCAGTATTTATATAAGTGAGAAATTCTTCGGAGTAGCTGGGAGCAGTGAGCACTTTTGCAAAGAGCCAAGTGTTATAAGTACCACACTCCATGATAGACTCGCACACAGGACAGGTGGCAGTGGTCACTTAACTCCATGTCTTTATCAAAACGATAAGCACGCATATCCTCGTATAAGCTCTAATAAAATGTCTACTTTGAAGGTCTCACTGACTTCAGATAACGTTTTATGTCTTTTATGAGTTTAAGAACGAAAGGAGGAAATTTGGGAAATTCTAATTGGTTTAAACTACCGCAATGAAAGATACAGGGTCACTGACGTCGGTTCCCATAGGAAGATTTAGGATATCGGGAAAATATATATGAATCCCTCCAAAATCACACACTTAATGCAAAACAGATATATTTGAAACCCCCTTTGTGAGAGAAAACGCTTTTATTAAAATAATCTTAATGCATTACTGTAATTGCTACAGGAAGACCAATAAGCCTCTATGCAAAGCACAACAGCTTCAGCATTTCAAATACAGATATAACAGTTAATAAATTAAGGACTATACTTACTTGCGTGCAAAAGCTTTTGAGCACACCTCACAAACAAACGGCCGTTCGTCACTGTGTATCGATCGGATATGTCGCCGGAGTTTATCTTCACGAACAAAGGCACGACCACATGTCGCACATATATGCTTTGCATCTGCATGGGCTACTTTGTGCTTTTGCAACAGTGAACGCTAAAGACAAAAAGAGTTCGATGATTAGACCACGAACGAAAAGTTATTCGGCTTAGACATGCAACAAAGCATATACACAAGTATTAGTAAAGTGCGCATACCTCGGAAAAGACTTTGCTGCACACATCACATGTATGTCCCTCCTGTTTAACTGTAGAAAAAGCTGTGCCTCCTTCAGTGCACGTTTCACCATTTATGGATGCGAATGTGTTAG